AACGTAGTCAGCAGCTTCGGCTATAAATAGGATGCGAGGCCATGCGTTTTTCTCACAACTTTTAAGCCACACTTTCTCTCTCTACTCTCTCTCTCTCTCTAGCCTCCCTAGCACTAGCACGAGAGCGTCCGAAGGTTCCGAGAAAAACAGTTTTTCTATTTAGAAACTCTGCCCCCGCAGAGCCCGGTTTTCTAGCAAACCTCCCGGTTTCGTCAAAGGAAAACATATTTTTAAGAAGCGAAGCGCTGTCTAAGTTGGGATCACCACCTTATCAAATGAGTGCATAGTTACCTTCATCTTACACATAGATATGAAGTATTTTATATAAATTACGTGCAATGTGTGCATATTTACTTGAGACCTGTGCTAGATGAAAGATTTAAACTTCTTTGTTTTTTTATATCTAAACCGTATATGTATTTTGTTTTCAGATCTGAACCTTTTCTTCAGATCTAGACTGTAGATGTATTTTGTTTTCAGATCTGAACATTTTCTTCAGATCTGGACTGTAGATGTATTTTGTTTTCAGATTTGAACTTTTTCTTCAGATCTAAAACTATAGATGTATTTTATATCTACAAATATGTTGGGTAGAACATGGGTAGATAAATGATGAGGGAGGAAAGATGATATAGATGAATATCGGTAGCTGCTCCACAACCTGTATATGTTTTCGAACTACGATGCACTCTAAACATCCTAGCACATGCGCAAAAGGATAACATCGGCAGCTGTGCGTAATAGAGAACGTCATAATCATGGCAGCTGCACCTAGATGATAATATTGGTAGCTGCGCCTAATAGATAACATTGGCAGCTGTGCCATAGGCAAAGATGGACTTCGTGCCTATTCCGTAGGAGAATCCTTAGGAATGAAAAAGTGAATGATAGATGATTCTTAGGGTAGATCCTTAAGAGTAAAGAAGATAATGGGGATGGGTAATTGGGTTGATTGTTTGATGTTTAAACATAATAACTATATTATTGTGGGTTGAAACCCTATGTACTCACCAGGTTTCCCAACCTCACCCACTCGGTTTATTTGTATCACAAGTGTCGATATAAAACTACACTACACCGAGAGATTAAAGAGGTGTAGATCACTAGTGTAAATGAATGTAAGTTTTGTTTATGCTTATGTTTCGATATTGACGTTGACATCCCAAAGTTTTAAAATGAATAAAATACATTTATTTGGAAATGCTTTGATAACATATTTATCATGTTTTTCTGGGAACAAAATTCCGCAACACTTTTCTTTAAAAGTATACTCTGATTTTGAAAATGAAGCATAAACAAATCGGTCTTTTCTGGCCGTGAAAATGGGGATGTCACAGTTGGTATCAGAGCATTAGTTTAAGCGAACTAGGAATTTGTAGTATTTCTAGACTTAAACTTAGAATGCTAAGCGATGATTGTGAGATGAGTGTCTGCTACATTTTAGACACAAGCACTAGTTTATTTTAGGAAAGATGCCTAAAATGTTTTTATGTGCTAAATGTTTTATGTTGTCGTATATGCTATTATTTGTTCGAATCTATGGTCTATTGCCGACCGGATCTGGAAACCTTACGTGTTTAGGATTCTAAGCGTTCGATTACGATATTAGAACTAGCATGTAACGTTTCGGAGTGATAAGGAGGATTTATACGTCTATCATAAATAAAGATCTAAATTCACCTACCTTGGTGTATGGATCAACATGGTGAGAAACCGAAGTGGACTCGAAAACGTAAACGGGGACAAAAATCAGTAGCCTCGTCCCCAAGGGATAAAGCAGATGCCGATAGTAGAAGCTGCACCAGAGCCAGTCACTATGGCTGGAGTACAAGCCATGATTCGAGCTATGATGGCTGAACAGAGGGAAGAAATGAGGAAACTGTTGCTAAATAACAGGGATGAACCTTCGATGCCTGTTGAACAACCAGAATTGAATGACGGACAGTCAGAGGAAGGGAATTACAGTCGCACTGTCAGTCAAATGGAACCCCCAGTGGCAAGAAGGAATGACCCGGAGAGGGAAATCGACAGAGATGGACGTATGTATAAGAACTTCTTGGGTGCCAAACCGCTATGTCTTTCCGGAAGCCCAAAGCCAGTAGAGATTATGGACTGGAACCTTGGTAATCAAGGCAATAAAATAAGAGTTACACCCTTTAGTAAGGCTATCATTAATTGAGAAATCTGATGGGTTTTGAGGATCCTTAGACAACATTAAAGGGACAGCGGAAGCAACAATTCTTGATCCTCAATATGCCCGAAATACGGATCTGTGAACAAATTATTTAATGCAACTTTAATTTACAAGAAATCATACCTTTTAGGTTTTGTCAAAACCCTAGTATATATTTAATTGGTTGATGAGAGCTAAGAGTCCAACGTAGAACTCCTCTTTCATTATCACATCCAAGGCACTCAGATTCACAACATCCGACAACAACCCATGCAGCGAACACCATCTACGAAGCTCCAAAAATATGAATCTACTAAAACTACATGTACTATGTCGTGACAATGACGCCACCACGATGTGGTGTTGCGATTTTCAGGGTTTCGAGAATGAAGAGTTAGGACCGAATTTTCTCTAGGGTTTTAAATAAAACTCATCTTCATAATTCGTCCATATACCTCTCTACTTATAGGGTAGGATATAAAACCATAAAAGATAATTATCTATTCACCTAATAATTATTCATATAATTGGCAATTATCTGACTGCTTAAATTATCCTCTTTATCCTCCAGAACTTCTAGATTTTATTTAATTAATTAAATACTATTAATTAATTAACAAATTAAGCCCTTATAATTTTCATGTCATTTATTGCTTATTTATGTCCTTCTGTGTAACCTAAAGGACCCTACTATTAATAGTAATATTACCAAAGGTTGTAAATTGTTTTAACGATGGTCACTATTCTCCATCCAAATCCTCCAAGAATCACACCACAACATCCTCAATAAACAACCAAAAAGCCTTAAAAAAAGGCAAAAGTAAAGCCATCAGGACCCGACGCACGAATATATATATATATATATATATATAATATATATATATATATATATATATATATATATAGAGAGAGAGAGAGAGAGCTAGGTTCAAATGTGGATTGACATCTATTGTGTGGACGTGTGGACAATGCTATTCTGTGAGAATGACAAAGAAAATATGTTGTTTGATAATATAAATACGTTAAATCTTACATAACTATTGTCATTATCATGCATTCTTACTAATTAAACCGTCTATAAAGTTATTATAGACTTTTTATTATTATTCTCATTCTGTCAGAATGTAATCAAAATGTTTATTGAGTCGTATTCTGTCGGAATGAAAATGAGTGAAAAACGATGTGTGAGAACAAAAATGAATAAGAATTAGTGAGAATGCATGAAAATGACGATATTTTTGTAAGTTTGAACGTATTCACATTACTCAACAACTTATTTTCTTAGTAATTTTCATAGAATAGCATTGTCTACACGTTCGCACAATAATTGTACATCCACATTATAACCTAGTCCTATGGGTTAGGTTATAATGTGAATGACATCTATTGTATGGATATAAGGATGAATATGGACCAATGGTTTTGGTTATTTTAAGAAATTGATTTACCAATATTAGTAATTTAAAGAAAATAGAATAGATGTCATTTAATTAAAAAAGGGTAATATTGTACATTTGCATTATCTTCAAATTAGGAAACATGAGTTTAATTAATGAAATTTAAGGAATTTAAGGAATATTTGATTCTTTTTATTTTGAATTCTGATTTTTTTAATTAATTAAATTTTTATTCTAACGTTATTTTTAATTTTACCCGATTTTTTATTCTGCCAGAATGACTTTCTAACCGAATGACATTCTATGAGAATGTTAGAATACAAATTTTACAGAATAACATTGTAGTTGAATAACATATCATTTGAAAGGTGAAAATATTAATGTAAAAATATATATTCTTGTAGAATCTATTTACACTTTTATACGAATGAAAATAAAAATACATTTATAAAGTGAAATACATCAAATGAATAAAAAATCTAAAAAAACATTCTTGCAATTCTTGAAGAATCCCCATTTGCTCTTGATTTGTTTCCAATATTTATGTAATGTAACATGTAAAAAAGATTCATTTTTTAAATAATACCCTATCATTGATTTGCAGACATGCAAACAGAATAATAGGCATTCTGTGAGAATCTGAGTATTACATAAAACACGTGTTCTTGATATAATATTCTATTAGAATGTAAAACAAATTCGAGGTGAACTCCAAAAGATGTTAAATGTTTAAAGAACAAATACTATAAAATTAAATTTGATCAAATGTAATTTAAGATTCCATGTTTGATGGATTTTATTGTTCTTAGGAGAGATGGTGCAGGGAATTCAATTCCATTTTTCTTATTCTACTAAAAGAACAGAAAACCCCAAATGAAAAATTCAAAATTATAATCAACTCTAAAACAAGACTTTGGAATTAACAAACTATCATAGGAATGGCGATTCTGGAAAAGTAATGATCTAGAAATTTCAAGATTCTCATAATTATATAACTATGAACAGGTGATGATTTCAAAATCAAAATACATAAAGCAATGTAGAAAAAGAGACAATGATACATACCTCCTCTCGGTATCAATTTCCCATGAAGAACATCAATAATTTCCGATTTTCCACTGAAATATCTCCTTTATAGGTAGTAATCTGATATAAATAAGGTAAGCTCACATCCTTTAAAAAATGATTCTAGAATTTTGACCCAACCCCCTAGAATCTGAAACAAGAAACATCGCATCCTTCACATGATAAAAAATATTGTGCAAAGAAAAATATTATTGATGATTATAGATGATGGATGAATCAGATATAAGCAAACAAAAAAATCTATACATGTGGAAAAAAAGATGATTCAGCCTCTGTCCTTGTTCTGGTTCATAAAAACAAATCATAAATTTGTACTGGTGGAAAAGAAGATGATGCAGACTGAATCAGATTATAACCTCAGGTGCCATGAAAACCGATGTATCGGAAAGTTGAGACGTGGTGGCTCCATTGTTTCCGACCATCTTTTCACAAACCAAGTCGCCGATCTTGACACCATCTTTGCACACCAACAAGTTTCGGCATTTGATATCACAATGCACCAAATTATTGCAGTGAATATGATCCAGTCCAAGTAGAATCTGATGAGTACAAGATTGGATCAGTGACTCATCAAGCGGTCTTCCTTGTTTCTTGATCACATCGGAAATCTTTCCATCGACGACACACTCCATAAAAACAGATTTTACATGGGTTTGTTGTCATTATAATCAACATCAAAACCCATGTACTTGATTATGTATTTGGAGCTTAATTGAGAAAGAAAGTGTTGTTCTTTCTGTAAGAACGCGGAGGTAGAAAGCTATGTGGACTTGACGGCAAAAAAGTCTCCGGTGGAAAATTAACTGCTACAAGCCCTAGCATATTGATGCAAAATCGGTACTAAAGAGGTTTGAATGGATGTGCGTATCGTTTGACGAAGGTGGGGTTTAACAGGGCAATTCAGAAACTGGTTCCTAAAATTCGGGGATTTTAATGGTTAATTTTAGATATTAATTAATATATGTGTGTAATATTACAAGTATACCCTTTTTTATTTAGATAATGATTTAAATTTTACTAATTTTTGATTGGTCCCTACAGCCACACAATAGTTAACCATCCACATATGAACCTAACTCTCTCTCTCTCTCTCTGTGTATATATATATATATATATATATATATATATATATATATATATATATATATATATATATATATATATAGAGAGAGAGAGAGAGAGAAGTAAGTTCAAATAAAAACAGTAATACTGTGAGAACGTAAAAACACTATGTTTATGTTATTATTCTGTAATGAATGTTGTATATGTGTATTGTCGAAGTAATTCTAATATGAATATTAACGTTTGATTATTTATATATTCATTAGAATGTTATTATATTATAAATTTATGTATACACATTTTTGTAGTAAATTCTATTTTTAGTTTTCATGTGTGACTATTCATTTATTCATTGTTGAATAATGACATAAAGTTGTGGATACAAAATTCATTGCAGAATAATAATATAAAAATAGTGTTTTTACGTTCTCACACTATTTACTGTTTTTATTTGAACTATATATATATATATATATATATATATATATATATATATATATATATATATATATATATATATATATATATATATATACACACACACACCCACTAGATGTATACCCGCACAAAGTGGCGGCGATAAATAGCTCTTTTGGCGAATAATTTTTTTCTTACGGGGAATAATTATTAGATTTTATTATTAGTTATTATGTAATAAAATATTACCACTTAAAAACAAAATAATTATATTTAGACCTTATATTTATATTGTTTGTTTATACATTTGATGTAAATTAATTATTATCGGTGTCTATTTAAGAAATTTGTAAATTAATTAATATACATGAAATTAATATTTTAAAATTGTCATTTTGCTCCAAATTAAATTTCTTAATAACCTTCTTTAATATAAGTTTTCAAATTTTTAGCAAGTATTAATGATTTATTTATGCATAATTGATTTGTACAAAAAAAGTTATATCTTATAGTTCTTAAAATTCAAGATACGACTAATATGTTTTATAATATCGTATAAGATTATATATATATATATATATATATATATATATATATATATATATATATATATATATATAGAGAGAGAGAGAGAGAGAGATAGAGAGAGAGAGAGAGAGAGAGAGAAAAGAGAAAGAGAGAGAGAGAGTAGCAGAATTGTGGTCAATCATAGTTTCAACCATAACTAAACATGACCATGCTACCCTTGGGGTGGTGTTCACTACCATAATATGCATGACTTTTCCTCTGACTCTCGGTAGTCTTACTTTGATATAGTTGTTGTTTTTGGCCAACCGGCAAATCTTATAAACTTGGTGTCTGATCGTTGAATGCTTGTAGCCTTCTTATGTGTTAGGTCGTGTCATGTATGTCTAGTAGAAAGGTCTTCTAGGTGTGCATGGTGTGGCAACTTGGTAATTAACTATGTTACAACTTGCTAGGTGTGATACACCACGACTACCTATTTACATTCAAGGGTTATAGGGCGACAATCCAATGACGTCTGTAATACGTAGGTGAAACTAAATTTATATACATAAATTTGATTTAGCGTAGATTTGATTCTACCATTTCATAGAAAATAGCAGTGCTGTAAAAATCGGCCTAGGCGGCCGATTAATCGGCGCTAGGCAGACTGCAACCGACCACGTTTATGTGTAATCGCTCAAGGTAATCGGGCCTGGTCAACGACGGTCAAACTCGGAGCTAATCGGATATAATCGGAGGTAATCGGAGCTAGGCGGTTTATTTGGTCAACTTCGGTCAACGAATTTTCAAAAAAGATTAAGGGCAAAATTGTAAAAACTGAAAACTTTTTGCTAGGGTTCGTTCTCACCTTCGCTCATTCCCACTTCACTCGTTCCCGTCCCTGTGAACAAGTTTTCTATGGTTTCTCTCTCGACTCAAAGCTGAAATCGGAGAAGTGGAAGCTCGCCCTCGCCATCGCCTCTTACGGCCGGAATCTGTGAACTTCGCCATCGTGGTTGTTAGAGTCGCTGTTAGAGCCGTATTTGTCTTCCTTGTTCCGACAGCAGTCCACCTAATCTACACAGGTTAGTTTTTCAAACTCGATTTATGCTGTCAAATTTCGATTTTATCTATTGTCGTCGATTTAAGTTGTTAATCAACTTATTTGTGAAGACGCAAGTTTGTTCACAAATCGAACCTGTTAATGTGATTGAGTTTACCTGTTGCTTCACTTAGAGCTGAGATTGAGTTTACATAACAGTTTCTTTGTGCTAACAAATCATTAGCAACGAGTTTGGAAATGTGATTGAGTTTATTGTTTATAGAACTTGTTTACAGAGCCTGCTGATATGAATATGGTGTTACTCAATAATCAATATTACATGAAGTGATGATAAAATGATATGATACAGAGTTTGTTTATTTGAGTGAGCATTTTTAATGTGTAAAAAATCCTGGTCTTACTTCAGAAAATTCTAGATATGTTCATAAATATGTTATTGATTATCATAAATTGATTTAGAGATGTTCATAAATAACAACAACTTTTATACTTTTATGTTATAGATATTTTTTAACGTGTTAATGTATTTTTTTATAACAGTTGACAATCAATGGCATTTAATGCATCGACTACATCTGTTGGATCAACCGCCACTGGTGCACATAAACGTAATTCAGATGATGTTGGTTGGGAATATGGTGTCATCCTGGATAAAAGCAACATGGATAGATTGAAATGTACCTTGTGTGGAAAAGTGTTTGGTGGGGGATTTATAGGATGAAACAACATATTGCTCATGTGACGGGGAATGTATCTTCATGTCCAAAGTCTACAAAAGATGATCAATTGAAATGTCTAAATTATCTTAACGAAGGGAAGTTGAAAAAGAAAGCTAAAAAAGTTCATATTGAAGAGTTAAGGGTAGAGGCGAGACAAGAATTGCATGATAGCGTGGATGAAGTAGAAAATTCTTTGGGGTCGAAGGCTCCAAATGTTATAGGCCCCATGGATAACTTCACAAACATAATAAACCCCGAAGAAGTTATGAAGGTGGGAAAGGGCAAAAATATTGATCTTAACAATATTGTCCGGAAAGAAAGAATATTAGCGGTCCATAAATTTATTAGTAGGTGGGCATATGAGAGTGCGATTCCTTTTCATGCCTTTGAAAGGGATAGGTTCAAAATGATGTTGGAGGTTATTGGCCAATTTGGAACCAGGCTTCCATGTCTAACTAGATATGCTTTGAGTGACCCACTTCTAAAGCTTGAAGTTGAAAGAACAAAAAATTTGTTGAAAAAAAATGAAAAAAAAATGAAAAAAAAATGAAAAAGAATGGAAAGAGGATGGATGCTCGATTATGACGGATGCTTGGTCCAATCGAAAGAGGAGAAGCATTATGAATTTATGTGTTAATTTGAAGATGGTTACCGTTTTTTTATCTTCAAAAGAATGTTCCGGTGAAGCATATACAAGCCAACACATATATGAGTATTTGGAATCTTGTATTCAACAAGTTGGTCTCGAGAATGTTGTTCAAGTTGTTACCGATAATGCCATGAATAACATGGGGGCGGCGAAGTTGCTAAAAGAAAAAATACCATCTATTTTTTGGACATCATGTGCAACACATACCATTAACCTCATGCTTAAGGTATTTACATTATTTTATTTATTTATTGTATTTATTATTTTATTTGTTTAGTACTTTATGTAGTTTAAAAATGTTTAATTATATATTATAATTTGTTATTTAACCGTGTTTATTTTTCAAGGTATCGGAACACTCCCAAGGTTTAAGAAAATCCTAGATCAAGAAAAGAAACTAACCATATTCATTTACGCTCACCATAAAACCTTGGCGATGATGAGAAGTTACACCAACAAAAGGGAAATTATCCGACCGGGAGTCACGAGATTTGCTTCCGTCTTTCTAACATTACAAAGTTTGTCCGAAAAAAATGAGCAACTAAGATATATGTTCTCTAGAAACGAATGGGAGGAATGTAAATTTTTTGGTAAGCCTAAAGGGATTGCCTCATATAAAACGGTGACAAGTGTCCAATTTTGGTCCGGTGTGACACAATGTTTAAAAGTGTTCTCTCCTTTGGTGAAAGTCCTTCGAAATTTTGATGCGGATTGGAAGCCCTCAATGGGTTTTGTTTACGGGGAGATTAAAGTTGCAAAAGAAGAAATTATCAAATCTTTGGGTGGTAACGAGAAACACTACAATCCTATTATAGATAGTAATATAAAGCATTAAATTTATATTTGATAAAATTTAAATATTAAGCATGTTTAAACTCTTTGTTGTGTTTAAATCTGTAGGTACATACAAAGAAACCAAATAGATTGGAGACAAGCAAATTGAACAATCATGTTTATGTTCAATTCAATGCTAATTTAATGGAGAAAAACAAAAAGAGAAAAGATAGAAACATGGAAGTGCTATTATCAAATCATTCTCTTTCCGCTCAAGAATGGATTGTTGATTGCGATGATTGTGATGTAGATGAAGTAGACCCCAAAACGGTTGATGAAACTCTTGAAACCGATGTTAGTCAAGCACCCCGAGAAAGTCCAAAAACGAGGGAACTTTTCGATGAAGATTTCGAGTCCGAGAGTGAGGAGCAAGTGTTAGAAGAAGATGAATATGAGTCGGATGGGGTTCAAATAATGGAAGTATGTGGTGAAGATTAGAAGAAAATTGTTGTGCTTGTTAAAACTTATTTTAAACTTTTATGGACTTGTTGGATATGATTTTGTGTGCTTGTTAAACTTATTATCAAACTTTTATGTTTATTTTGGATGATAAATGGTTGTGCTTGTGAAACTTATTAAGTTATTATTAAACTTTTATGCTTATTTACTTATATTCTTAGTATTAAAGTTAGATTTATAATTTTTTGAATTATTTTTTTAATAATTAATGGTCCCTGATTAATCCCCCGATTAATCCCCGTCTAACCGATTAATCCCTAGACCCCAGTCCACCGCCTAGCTAACGTCTAGCGTTTTCTGCAACCTTGGGAAATTCAAACCTTGAGTTAATGCTTAAGATCAATGTCTGCTTACTAAGGAATGTTCCAGTCAAGTCTGGCAAGACCAGTCAAGTATGAGTTAATGCATTCAACAAAGTGTTCAAGATATTAATGAAGAGTGATGATAATGATCAAGGTAAAGACAATAAATGAAGAACAAGAAGAATGTTTGAGAGAATAACTTGGAAGGTGAAGTAAACTAGAATATTGCTATTTTTTATTCAACAATCCGTCACTTGATTTAAAATAGAAAGCTCATTTAAATAGGAGAATTGATTACATCGTACTAACCAAATACAAACATAGGACCGGATAATAGAGTTATTTCTGACACTCTGATTATCTAGGTTTGACAAAAGAGACTAAATGACAAATACAATTAATTCAGACGGACAAAAGATTGATTCTACATATTATCATTCCGGACACTACTTCCATTCCGGAATGCCTTGACAACGTTCGGAATGTCTACTACTTCCGGAAGCAAGCTTCACTTCAAACTACACACTGATTCCGCACCAACTTCTGTTTCAGAATCGGAGGCTGACTTCGGAACTGCCAAAAGGTTAGAGATTTCTAAAGGTTCACTTCAGGTTCCAACAATCTCCCCCTAAGTGAACATAGCAATCAGGTCAGCTCAGTTCGCTTCTTCCTTGATGAAAGTGCATGCTCTGAATAATCAATCTCTGACTTCAATGTACCATTGTAGTTGACTCACAAACTTTGCCTTGATGTGTTCAGGAGCTTCGGACTGGGATGTGCGATTAATGAATTTCTGAAAGATTTTTGTAGGAACTAGGTGTTTGTCAAGGACTCGGAAGAAGTCCTTTTTGTTTGACTTTCGTTTCTTGTAAACATACCCTAGAACCGGATCATCAATGGGTCCATCAGCCAGCAACTCAGCTTCTGGATCATCAATGGGTCCAATATTATAATTGTTTTATAGAGAATTAAGGTCCATGAATTTTAATATATTTTTTACTATATATATAACTTAATTAAATAATAGATCATCCATATGTTGTAAGGTTTTTTCATGAGAGAAAAATGAGATCTGGATGTTCGCGAATATACAAATCAACCTTTATGCTTATATATAAATAAAATACCAATTTATAATTCAGTGTAAATTGATAGTGCCATAGTGACTCAAAACTTAAAATAAAGTTATCTGCCATCGATTAAAAAAAAAGAATATACTAAATAATCAAAGGTCATATAACTGGCATTTTCTACCAAACTTTTTGTTTTATAGCGTAAAGGCTGAAGATATCATAGTTACTATTTAATATCTTTTATGTAACTATTACATTTTGTGGGATGTCACAACATAGTAATCGACAGTCACAGAAACATCTGACCATCGACCATTTTTACTTCGGTGACAAGTAAATATTGACTGATAAATTGGAATACTATACTGGCATAATACATTATACGCATGCAAAAAAAATAACCAAACTCATTCGATCAAAGCCCAGGCTGTGCTAAAATATGGATTTTCATATAAGCCCATATCAAGTCTTATTAGTACCCTACACGTGTGGGTAATTATTGGGCCGCATAAGCTAACCTAAAAAAAATACGTTTTGAAGTTTTCGAAGGATCAATTTCTCAATTCTCAAATATCAATAGATGTGACCAAAATCGGTTTAATTCGATACCAGACGGAATTTTAGCTGTTGGATTTAAAATTTGACTGTTGGATTGAAGATTGGTTTAACCGGACTAAACCGATTTTTGTCATAACTATTTAGACTGGTTGGAGATCGAAACTGGACCAACTTGAGAAAGAATGGTTCCAATATTGCAGTCTCGGTCAAAATTAAAAACTGATTGATTATAAAGTGTGAAGGAAGGAAGGAAGGGTTCACAAACTTCACATATTTGGAAATCAATTATGTTGAGGGGTCTTAGGTGTGGATAGAAGAATTTGTAACAAGCTTAAGCAAAATGGGGGGTATAAAGTGGTACTTTAGAGAATTGCAACCAATCTTGAAAAAAATCACGATTAAAGAACATAAGGCATGGGTTGAAATTGAAGGGCTACTGTAACATCCCAAAATTGAAGGCCAAAAATTTCATTTTTAATATAAGAAAACCTTTAATAACTTTGTTCCAGACATTGAAAATATTTCAATTAAAACAAATATCAGAGTCTAATCTCAAAGATCACATAATGCGGAATAACATGGGTGAATGCGTTGCGATCGCCACGAGCTCCTTTTTCTTGAAAACTGAAGATACCTGAAACTAAAATTGTAAACCGTAAGCATGAAGCTTAGTGAGTTCCCCAAATACCACATACCATATATATCCAATGAGCCATACATGTCATACATACTGTGAGCCATACATATCAATCATATATCAAGTAAGGTGTTATGTGTCGCACATAGTCTTGCTGTTATGTCACGGGCCGCCACGTGGTCTTTCTTGCCAAGTCGGGGGCCACCCCCTGGGTCTTACAGACAAGTGCCAAGAGCCGCCTCCTGGTCTTCCATGCAAGTATCACAAAGGCAACTAGGATACATACTACTCTACTTAGCTAATGAACATACAGTGTGCCAAGAGCCACCTCCTGGTCTTTCATGCATATTGCCTAGGGCTAACCCCCGGGTCTTTCTATCATACATAATAGCATATTGTGTGCCATGAGTCACCCCCTGGTCTTTCATACATAGTGCCTAGGGCTAACCCCCGGGTCTTCCTACCATGCATAAACTAAATGGGCCGACATTCTGGCCGTAGACCCATACAAACAGTGAAGAGACTCACCTCGCACTGCTGAAGACTTGCAGATAATCCTCTGGCTGCTAATTGGCAATTCCCGAACTGCTAATTCTTCGGCTCCCCGAGCTATCAATACCAAATAACACTTAGTCAAAAACCAATAATCCTTCTTAGGGTAAAATGACCATTTTACTCTAATCTGGACCATATCCAAGGCCCAATTCCATCTAATCTTTCTAAGTCCACTAATGGCCCAATTTGCTAAATTGGACCCAATCCCTCTAATGGGCCTTACCCTAACCCCAAACATACTCTTGGCCCAAATTATCTGACTTATGATGGCCCACTAAGGCCCAAAGAACTAAAATCGAATGCATGGCCCAATCCGAGGCCCAAAACACGCCAAGCCCATGTCTGTTGAGTACGCGGGGCGTTTTCCTCTATACGCTAAGCGTACTGGCTGAATGGTGTGTACGCTGCACGTACATGCATTTACACCCAGCGTACTCCACTGTTAAGTCACTTTTCCCATTAAGTGCTTAATACTCTATTCCACCGGCTATAAACACAGATCCAGGTCCTCTTCAACGTCTTAATCCATAAAGTCACTGACTTGGTGACTTTACATGTCCCAAACAAGCCCAAACAAGCCCAAACTCAAAAAATGGTATTCTACTTCCATGAAAATGGTCTTAACTCTTGCATGAGCCCATTAAGACCACCAAGATAACAACTTTCTGTCTTAAGGAGTCATTTAGCACCAAGGGTGGCAACCCTTAGTCTAGGAATCAGATTTGGACCATAAAGCTTCGTCCTTCGGACCAAAAAGATCCAAAACTCCATCATAATAGATCTAAGCATTCAAGAGACAAGTTCAAGACTTTATACCTCAAGAAAGTCTGAAATGAAGCAATAACCCCAGATCTATATCTTCTCCTTTAATCCACCATCTTGCTTTGCTCGTCACTTCCTTGAAAAATGGATCCAAAACACCAAAATGCTCTCTAATGACCTTCTAAGCTCCAAGAACACTCAAGGGAGGTTTAGGGTTCCGTGGTGGCTGTCTAAGGATAAGAGGGAGGCTGATATCTAGGGTATTATGTTCTTTATATAGTGACATACCCTAAAAATTAGGGTTTAGGACCTCTAAGCGTACGCTGGGCATACTTCTCGTACGATGGGGGTACGCCTCTCCGCACCCGCATCCATACGGCCTTATACGCTGGGTGTACCTTCACGCCTACCACCTTGCATGCATGGTACTTACTTGCCAAACATTTCCATTAGGGATCAATATTACCAACAACTTCAAAGTACTATAACTTCCTCGTTCTAAGTCCGTTTCCGACGAACTATATATCCACGAAAAGGTGGTGCTAATCCCTACGCTCTTAGTCACACCCCAAGCCTAAAACCTTCCGAATAAACCCGAGACCCATAAAATACCGAATCGCCCCTACCCTTTGGCCTCCGAGACCACAACCGAGTACTTTTAAAACTGGGTGTCACAGCTACCATTATATACATAGACTATTAATTCATCTTTTTTTGTGTGGGGTGGGGGTTGATGTTTATTGATATTAATTATGGACATGTTAACGACTAACAAAGTAATTATATCTAAATTAAGAGAACTGATTCGTACACAATAAAAAATTTCATTACACAGCAATTTGTGCATTAAAGTGTTGTATTGTACAACTCCATAAAACATAAATTGTTGTGTATGGAGAAAAATTGTTGTGTACAAATCACTTCCCCTAAACTTAAAGAGATTTCAAGATGGTGTCCTAAGATAACTAATGAAGATGATGGGTGTAATGTCCGTAAGATAGGGCTAGCTGATTAAAGAATAAATGAGATAATTATCAGTCGCAACGATAATTAGATATTATAAAAAAAACGATTATTTAGTGTAAATAATCT